AACTTGGAAGTAAAGGAAGACGGAACATATTACTTCATGAACCGCATATGGGTCCCTAAACTTGGGGGATTCAGAGAGGTAGTCATGAACGAAGCCCACAAGACGCGATAATCCATCCATCCGCGTTCAGACAAAATGTACTTGGATGTTAAGCAACATTATTGGTGGCCAAATATGAAGGCAGAGATTGCCACTTACGTTAGCAAATGCCTTACATGTGCTAAAGTAAAGGTGTAATATCATAAGCCCTCTGGATTACTACAGCAGCCAGTAATTCCAGAGTGGAAATGGGAAAGGATTACCATGGATTTTGTGACCAAACTACCCAAGTCGACGGACGGTTTGGACACGATCTGGGTAATAGTTGATAGACTAACGAAATCCATCCATTTCCTACCAATAAAAGAATCATACAAGATGGAGCACCTGACAAGAATCTACGTTAAGGAAATCGTGAGACTCCACGGAGTACCGATATCTATCATCTCAGATAGAGATAATAGATTTACTTCATGCTTTTGGCAATCGCTTCAGAAATCTATGGGAACACAACTCGACATGAGCACTACCTACCACCCACAAACGGATGGTCAAAGCGAGCGAACCATTCAAACACTAGAATATATGCTTCGAGCGTGTGTAATAGACTTTGGAAGATCATGGGATACCCACTTGCCTTTGATTGAGTTCTCGTACAACAACAATTATCACTCGAGTATCAAAGTTGCTCCTTTCGAAGCATTATACGGGCGTAAATGTAGATCACTGTTGTGTTGGGCTGAGGTAGGAGACACCCAGCTAGCGACAGGGAAACACCAAACAACGTCTTAACGAGACCAGAAATTATACGCGAGCTGACCGAGAAGATAATTCAGATCAGAGCACGACTGCAATCGTCCCGAGACAGATAAAAGAGCTATACCGATAAACGACGAAAGCCCTTGGAATTCGAAGTGGGAGATAGGGTGTTACTAAAAGCCTCTCCTTGGAAAGGAATGATTTGTTTTGGGAAGCGAGGCAAGCTGAGCCCTCGATACATTGGACCCTTCGAGATTCTTTCCCGAATCGGTCCAGTGGCTTATAGACTGCAACTACCCGCCAAACTCAGCAGTGTACACCCTATGTTCCACGTCTCCAACTTGAAAAAGTGCTTATCCAACAAGACTCTCGTCATTCCATTAGAGGAAATCGAAATCAATGAGAACCTTTTATTCATCGAGGAGCCGGTTGAAATCATGGACCGAGAGGTAAAACGTACCAAGCAGAGCCGCATTCCAATTGTGAAAGTTCGATGGAACGCGAGACGCGGACCAGAATTCACATGGGAACACGAAGATCAAATGAAGCAGAAGTACCCTCATCTATCCTTGCATTCTCAAATCGAGCTTTCAAAAGAATTTCGGGATGAAATTCCCTTTAACGGGGGGATGATGTCACAACTAGAAATTTTGGTGCCTTGTAACTACAACACTTATAACAAATATGAATCAATAACATGAAAGCATGCATGATTCTTATCCTATAACAACAAAACTTCATCAAATACTTCATTCTAACACTACAAATGGTCAACAAAGAATTGGAAACCTTTGAAATCACGATTAAGTCTATTTTGGACTAGGAATTCCTTATTGAGCCTAATGGACTAATAAACTTCCAACTTATCCATCTTGAATCTAGAACTCTCTAATGGGCCCTAAATGGACCCACATACATGAAACATAATATTTTGGCCCTTAATGAGTCACAACCAACTAATTTAGCCCTATTGGGTCATAAAAATTACACTTTGATTTATTTGGGCCCAAACATCATCTAAAGTGAGTCATAATATGGGCTAAGCACTCAAGACCCAATCATCTTCTCTTTTCCCTCTCCATTCTCGACCCAACCCACAAAGAAGGAAGAGTTGACTTTTAGTGTGCCACCTCATTTTTACTTAATGGTTTTCCATGCAATTCCCATACATCCAAGTAAACATCTCATCAATCTTCTCTCTTCCCCTATCTCTCTTTTCTTCGACCGAGAGCAAGAAAACACAACACACACACCTCACAAAACTCTCTCTAAATCACTCAAGACTCATCCCTTCTTCTTCATCCAAAAATCTCAAAATTGCTTGTGTTCAAGAGGTTTTCATCAAGTAATTCATCATCTAAGGTAATTTGATGACTAATCCATGATCTAACTACTTCATTTCATCAAAATCTCTTCTAAATCTGATCAACCTTGTGATCTTGCACCATAGAAGCATCTAAGTTCGAGATCCTCCAAGAAAGCTTATTAGGATCGAAATTTCCTCATCTTCTCTCTTCAAAACCGAAAACACAAATCAAGGTGAGCTTCATACCCCTCTCTTTTCGGTTTTCATATGTTGTATGGGGGAGAATACAATAAAATGTGTAGATCTATGTGTATATGTATGCTATGTGTGATTTTATGCATGTATGTGTGTGATTTTATGTGTTTTTGTGATAAGAACATAACCAAAAGGGATGTTAACTCGAGATCTATGACATGAGAAAGGAAACAAACATAATCTAAGTTATTTTACACTAATCAAGTCAAGAAAAATATCTTGTAAGGTTATGAGAAACATATTCTAGCATAAAACCCATTTTAGGGCTTAAATTGTCAAAAATACAAAACCTAGGTTAAAAACTATCAATTCACAGTTTCTTGAGGGTCAAAAAAAAGTTTCTATAATCATTTTTCTAAAGATTAGAATTTTCAAAGGACTTGAAAAGCAAATTTTTAGCTTAATGGGCTAAATTTGGGATTTTCAGCCCAATAAGCCCATAATTGCAAAATTTGAAGTTTAAAGGGGTTGAAATGTAACATTCTGCAAATTAGGGGATATGAAGTGTAATAAAACTATTTCAAATGTCAAAAATGCTTTTCAATTCCAAAAAGGACCAAAATGTAAACTTTTTAGATTTTGGGCCAAAACTGTAAAAGTTAAGAAAAATGGGGTTCTAACCGAGAAATACCATTCTAGAAGGGTTAAAGTTGTTAACAAAACAAACTTTGGGTTAAAACTGTCTTTTCAACAAGTTTATGATACGAAAGTGTCAAGAAAATGTTTTAAGGACTGAAAATGAAATTCTTTTGGACTAAAAGTGTTATTTTTATAAAAGAAAGGTAGTAAAGGTCAAATTCTACTTTTAAGAAAATTAATCCATTAAAACAAAATACAAGATCCACAACTACCGACAAAATAGAAAACAAATACACATTCAACACCAAATATCGTTATAAACGAACTGATTCGGTCTCGAATCAATACAAAACAACAATCGTTAAATCAAAACTCTTCAATAGATACGTGATGACTACAATGAGTAAATCTAAAAACTTTGGGTTTATGAGTTTCAAATCATGCTTGTTGGGCCTTGCAAGCCCACGAACATGATATTTGGGCCGAAAGGGATAATGCTTATATGTTATTGGGCCTTCAATGACCCAATATTTTATAAAAGGACTTTCAATAGCTTTTATGTGCTAGTTGGCCAAAGTGTCCCATTAGAAAAGCTAGTAAGGTCACAGTAATCAAATGTGAGTTGGACCATCGTGTCTTTCGCATCCACGACAGCCTAAGGTACTTACGTTAGTAGTGGGACATAATGCTCCCCTTCTCTTCGTTCGTTAAGGCTTATGAGAAATCAAAGTAGACAAAATTAGGATGATATACAATGTGGATTAATCAATATTCATTCCTTAAGATAATACAAAAATCAGTAATCATGAATACATTTCAACACCGGAAAACATCGGGTTTTCCGGGGAATTCAATACTACTCGTTCGAAATTTAATAACTATAATACAAAATACCCTTTATATATATGTTTTTGAAATCACTCATGCATCAACTTATGGATCTTCACACTTTGATAAACAAAAGTCTTTTAAGAAAATATCGGATTTTCTAGGTTTTACAAACTACACAAATCATTTTATCACAACATTGCTTATGAACTCACAAACATTTCATATGTTGACGTTTTTCCAAAATAACTTGTATTCTCAGGTAACAGGTAAGCGGAAGAGTAATAAGAAGTAATGTTAGATGTTATGTTGTTAAATGTACTCAAACAATTTATGCTATGAATGTGTAATGTTAAAACAATGTACTTGATGTGAACAATTCCAGTTGTAATATATTAATGCATGGTGACGTTTATGTTATGATTCATGTATATTCATTGTGATGATATTCAATTAAAGTCACGTGAGCCCTCGGACGTTTCCGTCGTCTGGTTCGGGGGTGTGACAAGATTAAATTTTGTCAAGCTTATGTTGCTCTTTTTCATTTTATGTAGTAGATACTGAAGTTAGGACAAAAATGCCCCTGTAATTAATTTTTATTACTACATGTGGAGTTTATGTTAACAGGAAGTGCATAAAAAATGCAATTAGACTGCTAGGTTTGGACTAAATTTGCCCCAATATTTTGTGTGTGGCTACTTTATTATAATCTTCTTGGTTCAAAGGTTTTTAAATTCTAGGGAGTCTTAATTAAGCACATTTTCCTTAATTCGGTCAAGTTTGTGTTATTCTTGTTCATTTTTTAATGTTGTAGATACTCAATTAGGATGAAAAATTCCCCTTCAATTAATTTTTATTAATATAATGTTGTTTTTTTATTACTTTTTTTATAAAATTTGTAGATATGGATCGTAATCATTTGCTCCTATTTATGAAACTATTAGAGAGTTATATTCAATTGTTGATGTGCCTAGCTACAGTTTGACTTTGGTTAATTGAATGTAAGGAAAAAGAAGCTCAAATGAGAGCTCTAAGTCAAAGTACATTAGAGAGTAGATTAGACACAATTTCAAAAAGGTCCATAGAAATACAACGTATCACATGTGAAAGTGATGAAAATTGTATAAATGAGTTACATATGGATAGAAATGCATTTGCACGTTTATGTGAGTTATTACAAACATGTGGTGGGTTATTAAACGATGGTTTAGTGACCATTGAGGAGCAAGTTGCTATATTCCTAAATATATTAGCACACCACAAAAAAATAGATGTATTCAAGTTAGATTCTATCGGTCAGGGGAAACGGTAAGTTGGTATGTTCATTAAGTATTGGGTGCTTTATTGCATATTCAAGAGATATTGTTTGTCAACCCAATGCCTATTGCAAACGATTGTACGGACAATCGGTGGAAATGGTTCTAGGTAACCATTATAACATTATTATGATATATTACAAATTAATATAAGGTTTTAAATAAAAGTTAATATAAGGTTTTAATTAACACCGATTTAATATTTTATTTATAGGGTTGTCTAGGAGCAATTGGTGGAACTTATATTGAAGTTAATGTCCTTGACTCAGATAGACCAAGATATCGAACAAGAAAGGGTTATATAGAAATGAATGTGTTAGGTGTCTGTAATCATGACATGAATTTTGTCTACGTCTTAGCTGGTTGGGAAGGTTCGGCTACTGATTTAAGGGTTTTGGGGGATGAAATTACTAGACATAATGGATTGAAGATTCCAGTTGGTAAGCTAATAAAATAGTTACCAAATATTTAAAGTAAATATAGTTACATATTCATATAGAGGATTTTGTTTATTATAGGTAACTATTATTTGGCTGATGGAGGATATATCAATGGTGAAGGTTTTTTGGCACCGTATAGAGGTACTAGGTATCATTTACAGGAATGGGAAGGTAGTACACGTGCACCTACAAATAAGGAAGAGTACTTTAACATGAAACATTCACAAGCAAGGAATGTTATTGAAAGGTGTTTTGGTCTACTAAAGAGACGTTGGGATATATTAAGAAGTCCTTCATTTTATCCGATAAGAATTCAAGGGAGAATAGTCATCGCATGTGCTTTACTGCATAATTTTATTAGGACACACATGGCTCTTGATCCAAAGGAAAACACGTCTAAAACTTTTGAAGATATGCCTATCGGGGAAGACCAGCCAAATCAGTTCCAAATTGTGGATGTTGTTGAATCAAGTAATGAATGGACTCAATGGAGGGATGATTTAGCCCAAGAAATGTTTGAGTCTTGGATGTCAACTAGATCTTAGTATATTGTTTTTTAATTTTAGAACTTTTATTTTTAAGTTTGTTATTTGTAATTGTTATGAATGTGAACAACTTTGATTTTTGTGTATGTTTTTAAATTTTTTTTAACTTAGTGAATGATTTGTTTTAATATTTTCCATTTGTATCTAATTACCTTTGTTATGTATAATATGTCAAAAGCAGATAACAAATCATGGCAGATTTATGTCAATGGACTCAAGAAGAAGAGGATGTGTTGATTACGATCCTTCAAGACATTGTTGTCATCAGTGGCAGAGGTGATAATGGAAGCTTTAGGCCTAGAACTTATGATCAATTTGTTCTAAAGTTGAAGTAAAAGGTCGTCGATATTAATATAACAGCAAAGCACATGCAAAACAAAATCAAACGTTTAAAGGATAAATTTCTTGTTGCATATGATATGCAAAATACAAGTGGGTTTGGATGGGACAATGCTCGTAAATGTGTAGTGGTTTATTCTTCTGAGATATTAGAGGAATATCTAAAGGTTAGTGATTATATATATATATATATATATATATATATATATATATATATATATATATATATATATATATATATATATATATATATATATATATATATATATAGGAGTAAGATCAATTGAGAACACCAAAAAGGTTGAGAACACGAGAACACATCTGGCCCATCTAAATATTCAAATATAAGGCTATTATCAAACGGATAATTTATGTTAATTCTAAAACTATTGGTAGTAAAGTGTAACTTTTAAAATGGCAAAAGGGTATAATAGCAATTGAAATTTAGGTCAATCCTGTAATATCTCATTCCCACTCTTATTTCCATAAAAGATTGTTGTCTCCTTATTCATCCCCCTCTCAAACGATTTTCGTAGCCCTAATCGCGAGCACACCAATCTGAAACACCGCCTCCTCATTCAGTGGCGCTAGACCCACCAACGCAAGCTTCATTGAATATCGTTGCAGGACGTTGACTTCCCCGACCGTTGAAGCGTCTATATCCACCTTTGACCCGTCTCCGTCATACCTGATATGCAAATGTTGTCAAGGGAAGCTCTTGAGATGCTTACAGCCACTGAGTTGCATATATTGTGGGGAACAACAGAAGAAGGACCTCCATCCTGACCCTATCCCCTTCAATTCAACCAATGGTTATAACTGGCTACTTCAATCCTTGAAGTTACATAGATCGGTTAAGGTTTTTCTCTTTACTTGCTTTAATTTCATCAACATTACTTTTGAAATCCAACATAATATGGGTGATGTGATTACTTCGTTAGGGCTTTTCATATTTGTATAACTATTTACATTACTTTTAGGGATGAGTTGGATCTTTGGTTGATGAAAATGGAGTACATAGAGGCTAGAGTCCTACATAATATATAGTTACTTTATCTGAGCTTCTAGATATGCAGATTGCACAACGTGATGAGCCTAAGAAACCAGATAATAGTTTCAAATTGTTGCATATTTTGTATGCATACAACCTGTTTGATGAAATACATAGTGTATTTTTCTTTTTATATTTTCAATAAAACCTATTATATCTAAAATAGTATATAAGTTGTTATTCCTAAAGAGTATAATCAGTAATTCTGATCTCATTTGTGACATTCTCTAAGTCAGCAATGGGTTTTATCGTGTGCCTCATGGGATCAGGATCTATGGTATTCATTTATGATTAGAGTGGTACTGATTATGATTAGAGGTGTATTCATTTCTGATTAATGATATATATATATATATATATATATATATATATATATATATATATATGTATGTATATATATATATATATATATATATATATATATATATATATATGAATATAATTACAATTGTAGGATTTCATATGCATTTTATATTTTGTTCATGTCTCTTCATATGTAACTTGATGTCATACGTGTTTTTCTAAATCATTTTCATTTAGTTGATTGTTAACTGTATTTATTTCTTTATTTGACAGTGCGTAGAGAAAATCGAAATGATTCTACAAACGGAATTTTGGCGTGCTAATATACAACAAAACAATACAAAGTGGAAAAGATCTCACCTTATTCATTTGTGATTATATAATAATAATAATAATAATAATAATAATAATAATAATTAATTATTTTTATTATAATTTTTTTTATGTTGTATTCAAATGTGATTATAGAAAAATAGATATGTATTACAGTGTAACTTTTTGTGTTATTGTTTATGAATAGATGTATAATCCAATATGTTTTATTTATTTATGATTATAGTTGTATTGTAATTTTTCTCTACAAATTATGTTATATTCGATTATTATTATAACTTAATTCATCTATTCATTCACGATTACAACGGATTAGTATATGACTACAAATATGTTTTTATTTTTGTATGATTAAAGATATTCGGTTGAACTGATTAATTCATCAATCTTTTTGATATACTAGTAAAAAAAATAATAAACATTTTTTAATCATGGTAAAAACGTTTTTTTAATAATCTTATTGATTAAAAATACATTAAATTCATTTCTAGTATTTAGGTAAAAAAATCAATTGATTGATAGCATCCCATGATTCTAGGAATTAATTAATTATCCATATTTAATTGCATTGTAAAATTCCTTTTACGCCCTTATTGAATGATTGGTCTACAATTATTCTCGCGTTCTCAACCTTTTAAGTGTTCTCATTTGATTATCTCTCTCTCTCTTTCTCTCTCTCTCTCTCTCTCTCTATATATATATATATATATATATATATATATATATATATATATATATATATATAGTTTTCGCATCTAAGTATTAAATATATGATTTTACATGTAACTATGCTTGTTTTCCTAGAAACATCCAAACAAAAACGATGTCGCGAACAAACCATTCCATTGCACACGAGCGACTAGCAAATGTTTTTGGTAAAGATCGAGCTACATGTGGTATGGCTGAATCGGCGATTGATGTGCCAAAAAATCAAAATATTGATAACGAAGAAGAAGAAAGTTTTCCATCGTTTAATTCTAATCCGCAAAACACTGTAACTTCCTCCAATCCAAATCCCAAAGACTCGGCGCCAAATAAAAAAAAAGCGGCATCTGAAGAAGTAACACATGTAATTCGATTGGGGTTAACTACCATATCCAAGGAAATCCAGAAAATGACTAAGGCTATAACGTCTTCTACTAATGACCTCGCGGAGTTAAGAACCATACATGAAGAGTTGAAGACCATGGAGTTGTCATCTTCAAAAATCATGCGAGTTTGTTTAAAGTTTACAAAAAAACTTGAATTTGTTACTGATGTGGAGTAGTTTGGACACAACTACCAAACCACTTTTTGCGAAGACTATATTGGAAGAAAACAACTGAAGTTTGTTACCTTTTTTATTTAAAATTAAGGATTTTGGGAACCATTTTATTTAGAACTTTGTTAATTTTTCAATAATTTTGATTATTTGGTATTAGAACTTGTTTTAATTTGAGAATTTCAAATAATTTTTTAATAAAAATGTTTATTTTGAAGTTATGTATGTTAATTAAAGTTATTATGAATCTTTTTTACAAAAGGGTAGTATGGTTATTTTTACATCTTGTTCTGTCTAGTTCTATTGTTACCAAACAGTTTCAGGCAACTTGTTATGTTCTGTTCCAGTCTTACCAAACATTATACAAATTATTTCTCCAGTCCAGTCCAATCCTGTTCAGTCCAGTCTAGTTCAGTTATGTTCCACCCAGTCCTTCTGCCAAATGGTACCTATACAGAAGCTAAATATCCTTTTATTATGCATGAACAAAGAATTTTTACTTTTTTTATCCACCCATCCTTCTATCCTTCCTGGTCTATTATATCCTTCCTTTTGGAAAGACTTTGGCAGACCGGGTAAATAATTATCTTGTGTTAGACTATTGTTGTGTATGGGCTGTCACCATACACCATTATGCCCCTAGTCTAAAATATTGTATGTCATTTAGAGATAATGTTTTAGACTAAATTCCAACTTAATATTCCTTCAAAACAAAGGCTTTCCAGCTGCTAGACAATGTCATAATTACAATATACTTTCTGTGATGTTTATGCTTGTGTTTTAAGGAGCTGTAAAAATTCATTGGGAGAAAGTCTACTAGATAAGGAATTTCAAAGAGACCGCCATTACTGGATAAAGCATATACACCATTGTGTAAAGGAATTCAAAGTATATTGCGTATTTGGCTAATCATGTAGCCATGGTTAATATGTTGCTTTAACCAAAATTCCTGAGTAGTCGTCTGTTCAAGCTACTTTTAAGAATAAATATTGCATCTTTGGCAAGGAGGGTAGTTATGGTTAATATGTTGCTTTGAATAAAATAACTGAATAGTCGGCTGATCGAGCTAGTTTTAAGAATAAATGTTGCATTTTTGGCTAAACGGGTAGCCATGGTCAATATGCTGCTTTGACTAAAACTAATAAGTAATCGGCTGACCGAGCTACTTTTAAGAATAAATATTGCATTTTTATCTAAGTGCATAGCCATGGTCAACATGTTGCTTTGACCAAAATTACTGAGTATATACACCATTGTGTAAAAAGTTTCCTACATGGGCTTTTTCTAGTACTTTTATTAGGGGAATGTAATGAGCAAGATTTTACATGTTTTGGTTATGGGTGATCAATCTGGAGCCAATGTAAAGAAATTTTGCTTTAGATTTACCCATGTTTCATGGAGGTTATAGGGGTACACGATTATATGGGCTAGCTTAATAGGTTTTGGAATTTCAGAGCTACTTGATGTGTTTCAAGCCTATTCGGAGACCATATCGGGACAACAGAAGCAATAACAATTTATGATCTTAAAGACTTGAAACAAGTACGTATAACTCAAATAAATCTATGCAACTTAAAGAATACAAAAGAATGAGCCATACCTTTGCTTTCTTGGTGGTTTACTTCTTTTGTTTACCAGTTGATCGAACTAGAGAACCCAACATATAGTTCCTCTTTTGTGATCGCACTCAATACACAAAACTTTTGTAGATCTAAACAATTCTTGAACATCAAGAATTAATAGATTCGATCAAACAAA